AAAAATGATGAATCAGAAAGTTCAACAATAATTGATTCTTCAACCACACAAGTCGATGATTCGAATGTGTATAGATGCATAACCCTACACATTTGTGATACCTCTGGTAAGGATGATTTTCTGAGATTAAAGCAGCTAGGGTATCTATCCGCAGATGTATTTATTCTCTGCATTGAATCCACAAGATTAATCCCAAATGGGAAATTGATGAAAGAATATGTCACTAAGATAAAAGAGGCACAAATTCCAATATTATTGTGTATTACAAAATGTGATAAAATAGAGGGTAGACCGAAGAGAAAATTTTCACATAAGAAAGGACAAGTTGAAGAACAAAAAAAGCAAGACAAATACTCCGATGTGAAGGAGGCAGCATGCAAGTTTGTTACCGAACACTCTTTAAGTGGATTGTGTATGGTAACCTCAAAAAAGAGGGGGAGTTTAAAGGAACTGTTTTTCACGGCAGTCAAAATCGTAGAGCATGTAAGACAAGAAGAAGAGACGGTTAGATGCTGCAATTGCTACTAGGATGGAATAAATCAACCATTAAAAACTGCGATTTATTTGATCGAGAAATCTTAAATAGTTTTTCACAGCATTCTTCTAGGATGCATTAATCAAAATAAAGTTTTAGAAATTATACAGCGGATGGTGTTTTAATACCACTAGTATTGATGTCTTGTGGAGTAATTCGAAATATTTTAGTTTCATTCTCAATAATTTATTTTGGAAATTTAACTAAAGATAAGGCCAGTTATTATATAAGTTCTCACATAGTTGATAATGCATATTCATCATGAATGTAATTTTATAACTCTAATCCCTCTATGGATAGATGTATATTTCTGTTCTATTCTTAAATAGATTATATTCAGTTGTAGGATTTCTGGCCTTAAAAGAAAATCCAAATCTGTTCTTCTTAGAATCAATTATGCTCAAATAAAATGTTGATCCTACTCCACTTTTTGTTTCATCTACCTTAGATGAATTGATATTGTCAATATCATCAATTGTATAATTGCTGGTAATGATTTTAGACCATTTTCTCAAATCAGCCGTTTGTTCATATTCGTGGAGTATTCTATATTCTACTTGATCCATGATTTCCACTTTCCAACCCTTAAAGTCTGCCAATTTAGAAATATAATATTTTGGAATTTGAGTGAAGATGTGTGGTTTTACAGAACTTTCCATCTTATAATGGAGGGTCAATACCTAAATAATTAATATTTTTAAATTGGCAGACTTTAAGGGTTGGAAAGTGGAAATCATAGATCAAATTTCAATAGCAGCATTAATTAATACACTTATAACTCAATAGTTTTTCGAATTAATTTAATATATAAAGAATTTTCCATTTTACATAATGTGAAAATTCATCTTAAGCAAGCATATCTACTAATAATACCGATATATATTTAAACAATACACTCACCAATTTGGTTCAATAAAACTATTTTCACCTCCTTTGGCCTGTTTCTTTGGTATTCAAAGTAGTAGTGCGCTACAACACACGCAAGATTCGCGAATAATATTGCCATACCAAGCCATTTGCTAATAATCATCAGAAAGCTCATCATGCTCTTCAAATCAGTAAAACCAGTAAATTCGGGATGAAGCCTTCCAGTGATTAAAAAAAAGACCCAATTCATAGCCAAGCTTAATAAGGCTGGCTTGTATTTCATTTCACAAGTAATATCATCAATCATAGTTTTACCTTCAGTGATTTCCAAGTACACTAGTCTGATAAATTTAAAGATGTCTGGGATTGAGTATCTGACGTATCTAATCAACGACGTAATACACTGATAACATGAAAAGTAGTACAGCAATGTCAAAAATCCATAAGTCATGTGTCCATAGCAAATCTTAATGCCATTAAATATTGGTCCATCGAAGAATGAGATTTGTGGTTCTGTATCGGTCATTTTTAGGGGAAAGAACAATTTTTTTCGAAAATAGTTATTTTGATCAAAAAACAAACTTTTTATTATTGCACAATATATTGTGCTATACGTTTATATTGTGTCTTGATAAGTACAAATCCATTTTTCATAAATTCATTTCTCTTTTAGGAATATTAACTTTTTGGAAAATTTTTGCATCTATTAAATAGTTGTGGTATTGAAGGTTATACTGGCAGCTATCTGATTATGGACCGGATTGCTGACATGTTATATTAATTATCCATTAGTTACAAAGTATTGTATGGTTTGAAAATCTCATACTTTGATATACTACTATAGATCTATGCTTATCATCTTCAACTGTTTTATATGCATTGTCTTTTCTAATTATTTTTCTACCATTTTCTAGCCCATGGAAAATTGTGCTTCCCTCCTAAATAATCTTCTACTTTCTTACCACTCTGATTCCCCAAATTATAAATTCACCTATGTTTTCTACAATATAGTGAACACACCAGTTTCCAAGCCAGATTATCTTACGGATGAGCAGTGGAGGAACCTGTATAGAGGAGAATACCTCCTACCGGTAGTTTTAAACAGAGATGGTGTATTAAAAAGGAAACAGATGCAAAATGAATTGATACTAAAGCTAAATACTAGCAAATATTCTCTACTGAAACGAATCGATGCTTTGAAGTTGCTAAAGGAGAAAATCCGCAGTAGATTTCAGCAAATACGTGTCCTATACCGTAAAGTGGTAAGAATGTATGTGGATACCAATGCTACCATAAGTACCACGCTAAATACGGCAAATATTGTGCTAAGAGATCCTTTGGTGGTTTCTACAGAGTGCATTCCATATCTGATTTCCCAGAAAAGGACACTAAAGGATTTGGAAATAGCGATAACAGAAGAATTAAAGAAAGTTGAATCAAAAGCAAGGAGTGATTTATTAAATATGTAGGTTTGAAATTCACCATTTTACTTCATCTAACGACAAGTTATTTGAATATTATTGTATTTTCTCTTTGAAGCTAGGCGCTTTGTCTATGCCACATAACTTGGATACTTAGTATATATTCATCAGATTTAAAGTGTGATCATTACTAGGAGGATTATCTTCTGATGTGTGTATTGGTCAATATTACAAGCAATCCATAGAGATTTGGAATAATACTAGTTAATTTGGTTTGGTAGTATTTCTTTTTAACCCTTCTATATGATTATCCCAGTTCGTTGCTTCTCATGCTCAAAGGAAATTTCCTCTCGCCATTCGGATTATTTAAAACTATTAAAAGAAGGCGTAGAAGCTTCGACAGCCTTGGACAGTGTCGGAATGAAGCGTATCTGCTGCAGAAGAATGTTTTTGACTCATGTAGAAATTGCAGATCAGTTACTGCAGTTTGAAAAGAGAGAGATCTAGGAAATAAATTATTAATGTTTCAGTGATATTAGTATTATTTCTGTGTACAAACAAACCAGTTATCATCTACCAATCAAACCACTAAAATGCAAGGCCAACTAACTAATTGACCACGTTTTATTTATTTTTCCTACTAACCCCTAATGGTGGAGAGAAGACGTGTTAGACAGAATTCTAATGTGTTTCATACTCTTAGCAAAACACAAATAGTTTCCTTGCGCGATGCATTCAACTTGTTTGACAGCAACAATGATGGAATCCTGAATGAAGAAGACTTTTCTACTTTTCTGAACTCTATTGGCAGTCCATTGGATGAAACGTCTATAAAGAAAATGATAGAAGAAATAAGTCCTAATAAAAACTTTATGACATTTGTTACAATTTTGGGAGAAAAAATGTCCCAAATCAGTGATCTGAGATTAATTGAAGAGAATTTAAAAATTCTATCAAATGATAGGGGTGGCAGAATAAAGGAATCGGAATTAAGAAGATATCTAGTTACCAGCAATGAAACTACCTCCGGAGATGAGATCTCGGAGGTTGATTTTCAACTATTGATCAAGGGCACGAAGTTGGATGACGAAATGATCGATTGTATGAAATTGGCAAAGAAGATAAAGCATGGTGAAATAATTGAATAAAAAATGAGAAATGTGCTATTTTTATGTTGTACAAATTGTGATTTTGGCTGTTGAAGGATAAAAACCTTTAATAAAAAGATTTTCAGCAATATCCCTTGGGGTTTTTGAACTATCGTTATATGGTATAAAGTTAAAGATTATATACCGAAAAACATTGAGTAGTGAAAATACTACATAGACTTAATGGATTTAATAAATGAAAACACAGCAAGCTTAAGTTTATGTTGATCCCTATTTTGGTTGAATTGCCTTTCAGTAATTGGATCTTGCATCCTATGTATATTACTAAGGACTTAGTATATCTTAGAAACACTTTTTATCAACAACAATTTAGTATTTGTACTTTTCCCTCCCAAATGTGGATAAAGAAGCGAAATGAAGAGAATGCATCGTTTTATTACAATACCGAGACTCTAGAATATTCCAGAAAAAAGCCGGATGTGGGGCCACATGCCCTCCATATTTTAATAAAACACAATAAATCTCGAAGTCCTGTTGAACTAAGCAAAGAGGCAGCTTTTACATTTATAAACAAGATTTATGACATTTTGATAAATGAACAAAAAAGGTTAAAAGAGGTAATTGAAGAAGACAAAAGAGTTAATACTAATGATGGTACTTCTGTAAGTAACAATAGGATGGTAGAAGTGTTGGGTGTTTACAAATCGAACAATAGTTTGATGTGTGATTCCCAAATACAAGATTTTTATAATAAGTCTATTGAGAAGTGTTTTGTACATTTAGCTTCGAAATATTCTGACTGTAAGTCCAAGCATAGAGGTGGCTATTTGGGACAAATTTGTAGGGGGGAGATGCTTCCTATTTTTGAAAGGGTATTTTTTGAGTTGAAGCCTGGGGAATTCAGTGTGCCATTCGAAACAGAATCTGGATATCATATTGCTTATTGTAAATGGGAACAAAACAGTCTTCAAAACCTGTAAAAGGCAACAAACCAGACCTTAATTAATATAGGAGGGTTGTGTATCTATAAGGGAATGATCATGTAAATTTCAAATAGAATAGATTTATTTATGGCAATCTTGTCAGCATTCTTCCATAGTCCCTTGAAACTATCTTGTTTTGTTTAACTAAATAGTCTATTGCTCTTTTCATCACTGCCTCCTCTACACCAATTATCGCAGCCAATTCCACGAATCTTTTTGAACCACCAATAGGCATAACATCCTTAATTTTCTGAATAACCTCATTAATTTGCTCGAAGTAATCTGAACGGTACATCCCTTCTATTTGGTGGCCTTGGCTTACTGCATTCATTGTGGATAGCTGGAACAGCCGAATCGCTTCATCCACATGTCTTACTGAAACAGTATTGTTTAGTTCAATTTTGGCCAAGCTCTCACTTAGTCTTATGATTGCCTCCAACTGCCTTACGGTAATTGGCACTGAGCTTTTACTAGATGTCTCATTTTCATATTCATTCACCTGTTGCCTGATATTTACATAGAATTTATTTAGTTTTTGGGAAGCCATTTCGTTCATTGTTGGAAACACTTTGGCTTTTGCATATTGAATATAATTTCTCAGTGTGTCAACATCGATAACATCATCTTCTTTGCATCTTTTTTGGTTGGTATGCAGTTGCAGGACATGTTCAGCCGTAATCCGATCTTCATTGGAGAATTTATCCTTTAGAATAAAGATACAATCAAAACGCGACAATATGGTTGAACCAAACTCAATATTTTCAGCTGGTGTCTTAAAATCATCATATCTACCGAATATTGGATTGGCTGCCGCTAATATACTTGTTTTAGTGTTGAGAACTGTAGTAATTCCTGCTTTTGCTATAGAAATAGTTTGCTGCTCCATTGCTTCGTGAATAGCCACTCTGTCATGTTCATTCATTTTATCAAATTCGTCAATACAGCAGACTCCATTGTCTGCCAGGACAAGTGCTCCACCCTCCAAATAAAATTCATTATTTCTATCCTTAATTACAGAAGCTGTTAGGCCTGCAGCTGAAGAACCCTTACCAGAAGTGTAGACACTTATTGGACTTACTAATTCGACAAATTTAAGAAACTGGGACTTGGCGATACCTGGATCCCCCAAAAGTAGGATATTAATATCTCCCCTAAGATTAATCCCATCATCCATGATTCTTCTGGTACCTCCAAACAGCATACAAGCTAGTGCTTTTTTTACGTCTTTCTTTCCAAAAATACTCGGAGCAATCGATCTAGAAACCCTTTCATAAATATCTTGCTTACTCAAATCTCTAAAGAAAGATTCTTCTTCCTCACTGAAACTCTTCTTCACCTTATTCTTGTTGTTTTCCAATCCCAAGGCCCTAATAAAAGGAAAGCTCTTCTCACTTGTGTTTTTAATGCAATAAACTCCTGAAATTTTTACCTGGCATCCTGGACTGATCTTATTAGCCAGAACACCCGAAAGTGAAATATTAAAGTGTCTTGGTGTTTCGCCCATCGGAATATCCTCAAAGAATTCCTGGATTTTGATGTACTGAATATCTTCAACTATGGACTTCTCTGGAACAATAAAGTATGGGTCCAAAGGACACTCTGAGTTGTCACAATTTCTGGGAATTCCATCTTTAACTTTCTTCACATTCTGACAGTTTTTACACTGTAAGTATAGTTCTTTTGGCTTTGTGATGATCGAGCTCGCTGACACCACAATTCCTTGGATTTTGATGATTCTATTGCTCTTATTGGAATTAATATCCCTAATCTTACTGATATTTGAGTTGGCTACAATTTGCACTTGAAAATTTTGGAAGTTATGGAGTTTACAAACTCCTCTTTCGAAAGCCTCCAACACTGCCAATGGATTTCTGATCAGATGGGAGTACATTTCAGACGAATATGAATTGATATGGTCCAGCTGTATAATGATTGTGTAAAGTTTTAAAGTGACATTTGTATGGAATTGATGAAAATAAGTTTCTGAATTTTCTGTTTTGAAATTGTTTATGAAGGATTCAAACATATTTCCAAGGATTTCATCCGAAATGACCTTCTCATTGCTCAACAAATCAATCGAGGAAACTTCATTTTTATGAAAATCCATTTGGGTGAAAAATTTGTATTAAAAATATATAAAATAGAAGGACAATGAAGTTCAAAAAAACAGGTCATGATACATATATGGCATATCTTTTTATCTACAATGCCATACACTTCTCTCTGTCATCAAAAATATTTTATCAACCACAATGCCTTTATTTATGTGGTGGTTTTATAATTAGTTCCATCAACTGAGTAGAGATGACAATCAGTTAATAAATTCTCCACACCCTTTTTTACTTCTGGAGCTGAATATGTACTTTGCAATATGCTCAAAACAATGTTTAAATCCAGACCATTGTCATCTTGATTGTTCCTATAGACCTCTAAAATATCATTCTCAATTTTAGAGGCGGCTCCAGTGGCCAGTGGTGTTGATAACTTTTGTGGAGGTATTTCCACGGAAATCATATGGCTATTGACCAGAGACTGGTATAGAGAACTTATAAGATGAAAAATAAGCCCGTTGGTGGTGGTCAAGAACAAATGGCTTACATTTAAGCTCTTCTTTTCATTGAATATTTTTATAGAACCGATTACCTTCAATAGTGCATCCTCGCTAATTTTGTCACAAGCAGTTTCATCATATGTACCATTTGGCCAGAATGCACAGTCTAAAACACCTGTAGTATCATCCATTTCAAATATTATTCCTGTCGATGTCTTCTTCATAGATGTAACATATCCTACAATCTGTACGGTTGTAACCTCCATCCCATCTATCTTTTGAACCGAAGATCCCTCTTCCAACACGAATTCTCTAATTTGCTTGATCGAGAAGCATCTTACTGTTCGAATTCCTGTGAAATCTTGCTTGCTTTGGATGTCAAAGCCACCATATTCAAAATCTTCCATCTAGGGGTTCAATAATTTCAAAAGTATCACACATTGAGGCAAAGACTTAGCATCAATACTAAACATGATTTAAATGTTCGGCTTGTTAAAAAGGGATTAGCATGGTTTCTCGTAAGTGCTGATTAATCACCATATGGCCAGCTAAATAAAAAAATGTTATTAAAATAGAGTTTACACTCACTTGAGAAAAGACATTTTATTCAAGTCCTTTGAGTATTTTACTCATCTCCTCAAGCCTAGGTAAGAATGATGAAGCTTCCTCTACACTGCCAACCAGCTTGTCATAAAAGTTGCTTTCCAAATCAATCTTCTGAGAATCTGAAAGTTCAAGGAATAGCCTTGGAACCCTTTTGATAGATTCAATCTCACTTATCAAATCATCCATTTCCCAATAGTGTGGAGAGTTAAAATATGTTAAATCACTGGAAGAATCTTCTTGTTTCTTTTTAGAGCCATCCACTGATGACTCCTCAGACATTCCAACAAATTCCTCTGCATTTTCAATAACTTTGGAATATTTTTTACTTTCTAGCAGATCAGTAATATGTCTAAGAAAATGATTCATTTTGAAGATTATCCTCACTACCTTATCATCTGCAGATTTATGCTGTTGAATGACCTGAGTTTCAAACTCAACTGGTGTACGTGCAAATTCACATATCGGCTTAAATATGTCGTAAAATCTTTCATTAGATTCATTAATTGAATAAAAAAAGGTTTTTAGACAGCTTTCATGCGTTTTTTTATAATTATTCTTGTTCTCATCAAAAGGTTCAAGCATATTGTCATTCTGATGAATAGACAGCTTAAAAATCTTTCCTGCGACATCTCCAGTGTTATTTGTTGTTGCTACACAGTATATCCTATCATTTCCTTCATCTCCGCCATATTCATACAAGACACCCTGATTCTCAATTAAAATTGACAGTTCTATGCCATCAGCCATAAATGTATCTTCCATCGGAAGTGCGTACCTTAAGAACAGTCTGTGTTTCAACTCCTCTATTGGATTATATAAAGGATAGCACAGGTAAAAACTATAAAAAGAGTTCAATGTATCTAGAGTGAAATCAATTTCCTCAAATGTGGGTTCTATATTTGCATCAACAAGCCAATAATCCTTACTACGGACATATTTCACCACCCCATATTTACCATCTTGACTTGATAGGAAATCAAGGCCATTGTTGTCTGAATCTCTTACTAAACAAAAAAATCTAGAATTATGTCCTCTGACAAATCCCAATAGATTCATGTTTGGTTTCTCCATGTTATTTACACGAACAGTATACCCCGATTCTAGATTATTCTTAATTAAATCAAGAAATATATCACTACAAATCAACCCATGTATCTCAGATAACTTAAAGATGTCAATTTCCTCAAAACATTGAAGTTGATAGATTAATTCATTTCGAGCGAATGTATGGATCTCATTAGTTTCTGTTGGGCAGCTCTTGAGAATTTCTCTAACTGAAAAACTACCATTACTGTTACCTGTCAAAAACTCCAGCCTGTCGTGTTTCTGATTGATAAAGACGTGCTGGTCAAGCAATAAAATATTCCAAGATGATCCTACAATATTATATGACCTTTCCTCGAATCTCCTCAATTGGTTAAACCGATATGTTAATGATATCTCACAAGACTCACATATTGAAATACTTTTATTGGTATTATTCTTTAAATTAATATTCTCTTCGTGGCTGTTGTTGAGTAACATGAATGTAGCTGTAGACATAACTGATACAACCTTGTTACTATTGTCTGTTGATTGTCCATCAGTTTGTAGTTCATTCGAAATACTGTTTTCTTGTAAAATCAGTTGATCTTGTTGATAATCCAACTTGAATGGATTCTCACATGCTGTTGACTGCTCAATAAATTTGCGCATATTACAATTTCCATATTCAACTGAGCATTCCAAATTCAGTAAGGTGTTTCTCACCAGCACCAGCAGATTAATTAATTTTATCATGGGTGCTAGAAGAACCGATCAAATATATTTATATGCAAATTATTTGCCCTATAATATTCTAAAAGGTAAATGGTAGTATTCATTTGCCTGAAAATGACGAGCAAATTGTAGTTATATTATTTAAAATAGAGACTTTTCTACTTTAATATTTGGATTTCCCTAATTAAAATAGTTTATAACAGCATTTCTTATTGCGCAGAACATAATTACGTAAATATAACACAAATATAAATTAAAAAAATCATTACCAAACCTGACTTTATTATACTAAAATAAAGTATTTACAAAGAGGTAGAGAATATACAAATCAAAGCATATATTTATTGAAAATTCTCGGTTAGGAAGATCTTACTAGGCATAGATTGCTTTGAACTTTGTATCGAAAACTGAATATGTCATTTTAATGGCCTTTAGATCCTTTTCGATCTCTGACATTTTTTCCGAGTTTTGCTTTTCCGAGTAATATTCCAATTGCTTTTCCGAGTAATATTCCAATTGCTTTTCAAGCACTTGAATTATGCCTTTCATTAACGAATCAACTTTGTAAAGCCTTTGCCACAATTCTCCTCCATCAATTCCATTGTTGTGTTTTATTTTTACATTGCTTCCATGATGGTAGAAGTCATAAATATATGAATTCTTGGGATAGTCTGGAAAATATAGCAGTGAATTAATTTGGAACAGTGGAGTAATACATTTGTTTTGGATATTCTTTACATGAGTAGGTAGGAAGCAGTTCAAATCAAAGATATATTCCGAGTTGATGCTGTCTAGAAAAATCTTAATTTTAGGGTCCAGTTCTCCCAGCTGAATTGAGGATCTAGAGTACTTCATAGCATTATACAGGGGAATAACCTCAAACAAATGGGCAATAGTTATGATAAAGCTTTCTCCAGAATAGTCTACCAATCCTCTATCCATAAGTAGGCCAAAAATAAATACTCCAGGGTCTGAATCTCTATTTGACACATACAAATCCCACAAATAGGTATCATAATGGATGCTTTTGTATTTCTCTATTTGATACTCGAGGATTTTCTTTCTTTGCAAATGATTCTTCATAAAAATATCTCCCACAGAATATGAACTTAAAATATTTCCTGCTGCACTACCTTCATCCATTCTTAATTTGGACATTCTTTTACTAATAGAATCAATTGGAGATTCATAATCAGAGATTTGCTCTAGGTTGTTGTTTCTCGCTGTATTAAGAGCATCTACAGACAATTTATTTTCTGCATCATCTTTTATGGTTATTCCCAACAATGGATTGGACAAGATACTTTGGCCAATGTTAAAGCCGACAAAGGATGTATTGCTGTATATATATGATCCCTTTACTTGCGGTAGCATACTAACCAGAAGATTCTGTACCCTATATTTGGAAATATTCATAAACACAACATGCCCCAATGTATCATAGCCCCTTCTGCCTGCACGACCACTCATCTGCTTGTAGTTCATGGGATCCAATGTAAGAGAATCTCCACAAAAAACAACTGTTCGACATGGCATATTTATCCCCAGAGCAAGTGTTTCTGTTGCAAACAAGACTCTAATGTGCTTTTTTCGAAACAGTATCTCTGTTGCAGACTTGATTCTTCTATTCAATGCATCATGGTGTAGGCCAATTCCTCTTTTGGCCATATTTAATATCATCCCAACATTGCTTGAGTAGATATTTCTAAACTCATCCTCCACTTCATAGTCGGTTAGTTTTGTTATTTTATCAAGATAATTAAATTTGATATCATCTTCTTCCACAATCACATTGTCATCTTCCTCCATCCATGCATCTTTGCTCAGTTTCACATCCCTAATCCTCTTCTGCTCCTTTTTCAATCGCTCAATGGACTTGTCCTTCTGTTTGATTTTGTCAAGTTTTGTAATCTTAGAAAACAACGATTTTGCCAATTTGTTGACCACATCCCTATCAGTATTAAATATTATCACTGGCAATAGATTATCATTAGATAGATTATTTAACAAATCAAATAGGTTATTGGTGATCTTATCAATATCATATGTCACAAAGGATTGTCCTACAGAAACAGGGGAAATCTTATCAGAACTATCATCTGTGGTTTCTGAACTGGAATTGCTTTTATTCCCTACATTTGTTATGAAATCGAAACTATCAAATGCCAGATTTGCCTCTTCTGTTAACAGTCGATAGACTTCCTTGACTTGCTCCTCATCAAGTACATTCATTTGAACCCACTTCTCAAATGTATTCAAAATATGTTTCTCGTACAACTTTACATCACTTTTACAGATAATATTCGATTTAAAGAACTTTCTTGGAGCTAGATGCTTAATTAGTGCCTTTTGGTCATCTCTCAGAACTATATATATATAATAATAAATACTCAAAAGTTCTTCGGGCAAAAAGTTTAAATCATTTCCAAATCCAAAATTCTTCAGGTGAGAATGGGTATAGGCAAACATACAATTAAGTGGTGTTATCTTGCCTGTAATTGGAATTTCACCAAAGTGATAGGAGTTTAGCAACCTAGTCTCTGAATTATCTAATGAATTTTTAAGCTCATTATTAGTATACACGTATGTCTTCAGTTCGCAAAATCTTTCGTCATGCTTGACCAATTTACATACCCTACCCTTTTTGTTCTCAATTCTCTTGAACCAACCGTAGAACTCATCGATATTTCCAATTGTTGCAGAAAGAAGCAATATCGGACAGTTTGCTTGGTGAATCACTCTCTCCATTTTAACTCCCAAATCCCTATCATTAATTTTATGGACTTCATCAATGATAATATATCGGATCCAATTTGCTGTGATGTCATTGTTAATGCGTCTAATCTCGGACAGAACCGTTTCCAACATACTAGGAATCGTAATTAAAACCTGACTGTTGAATGGCTCATTGCATTTATCATTCATCAGTGTACCTTGCAGATTGTGCTTTTGAGGTTTAAAACGAGCATATACATCCGCAGACACTTGATTAGCAAGAGCTTTTGTTGGTAAACAGAATATAACAATTGAACAGTTAGGCCTAAATGGATAAGTTGGTGATTTTTCTGTGACAGTGAAACAGAATGAGTCCTCTAA